GACATCCCTTTACCCGCTTTTTTTGAAAATTAAATTTATCTATTAGTTTTGTTATTCTACTGATGAAATACTTAGGAATTAAATTTTTCATTTTGTGGATTGAATTTGAATGTTTCTCTCAAAAAGGTTAAATATACCTAGGTAACTATATAGCGTATATATTTAATTCAATAACATACTGTACTATTATTCAAATATATATATTAAATCATGGATAATATAAAATGTATTAATGTACCTACCGTGTACTTACTATTTACTAAACACATTCGGTGACGTCACTCGTAAGTCGTAACTGTAATTTTAATAATAATTATTACCTACTTATTTGTTATTATACCTATCAAAGGACCGGAAAACACAGACAAGTACACCTGCAAATTAATATAAATAATTTAAAAATAATTTTTGTTGTACCTATACCGGCGACGGCCGCTACAATTTTAAGACAATATTATGCAATTACATTAAATTTATACAATTAAAATAATTATAACCGTATTGCAAACAGTTTTAATTTTATTTCCTTATTCATAAAAAGTGCAAATATTTGTGAAGAGTAATAATAATATTATGGAATTTGAACTATGTGAGTCAATTTCTTGAAAAATGATAACATAGTGTATGTTTAATATAAGTATGAATGATGTAAGACGGTTTAGCACTAACTATACAAGTAAAATAAAGAGGGGAAATAGTAATAACTAGGGCTAGGATTTATATGTAAATACATATATTTACTGTGACTCGATAAATTAATTAAGGTAAATGATAAATTCGTTTCAAGCGATTTCCAATGTAATGAACTTTGTTTTATTTTACATATTTTTATATATTTTGCCGTAAGTACATATTTTTACATATTCCTCAATAATTCCATTTTTTCCTATATATTTTGAAAATTTGTTCATTTTACGATTCAATAATAACTATATACGATTGTATTTTTCAATACAGACAATTTCCCATGTTTCCAAAAGTGAGTAAACAAAATACTACCAATTATCATATTATGTTCAACATTTATGGCTTCGATAAATAATAGATAACGATTTATTAATACGTGTTTGCGTTTGAACTACAACCAAGAAAAATGACTTTAGTTCAATGTTGATGTTACGTGTTAACAATTAAATTATTGTCTATCACTACTGGTATACGGTGTCTAATTGTGTATCCGTAGTGATAGATCTGTACCAAACGGGGAATGTGAGAAGATTTGGATGTTCGACAAGACAACTAGTTCAAGACAACTAGTTATACCGAGTATAATTTAACGTATATTTTAAAATGTAAAACAAAATGTAATATAAAATATTTTACTTTACCGATGACCTGGCAGCAACAATACACAGAGCAAGTGGTGAAACGAGATTAGTTCGGCTGACGAATGTGTGGTAGGCCGAACGATTATTATAAATTTTGTTTACTATACGAAATAGTTATACATATATATATATATATATATATTGAGCTTTACTTCGTGATATTACAGAATGGATGAAAGACGACACGCGCGTCTATGATACATGTATAGTATATCATACTATACGTAATATTATAATTATATAAATATAAAAACTGTAATGGTGTTCCACGCCATTACATTGACTTATAGAAGTAGCTGAAAAATGCATGGAATACAAGTACAGGTACCTTTGAGAGTTGCAGTAAAAGAATAAATGCACAGCGTATTACATAAAAATCTAGGTTCAGACTGTCTAAAATTAATTAGAGATACACGTCGCGAAATAAATGGGTTAATATTACAGACTGAACTCACTCTTTTGGACATTGTAAATTCGCACCCGTTACCTCGGTGGAAGTCGAAAGCTTCTTTAGTCGGTACAAATCTGTGTTACGACCGAACCGTAGATCATTTAATTTTTAAAATTTGAGAATGTATATGGTATCTCATTGCTTCCAAGATCAAGATGAATAATGTTGAAGTAAAATAAATAAATTAGATAATAATGTCATTTATAAAGCGATTTTTAATATTTTTTGTAATTTTTTTATATTCCATATTTTCATTTTTTTTATCACATACACAGCAATTTTTTATTACATAATATATAATTACATATTTTGGTTTTTTAATACAAATAAATCCGAGCCCTAGAAATAACCTATCATATTATATTATTATGTTTCACATGCATCTAATATATTGGCATATGGCATATGTCTTGTTATTAGTCGAATTTACAATATACAATTTTAGTTAAGATTAATAGAAAACAGACTTTAGTGGATATTTTTCATTTTGATGACTAATCATAACGCATCCGTAGAAGTTGAACGATTCTAAAATCTACATATTCACATAATAATTTTCCTAAAAACTAGTAAATACTTCGAACAATTACCTTTTAAAAACAAAATTTGGGTCAAATCGTAGTATAATTTTTTAATATGGTGAATGTTTTTTTAAAAATGTATGCATCATATTTTTTATTAATACATGACTTAGACGGGTCCAAAATGTATAAAAGGTAACCTATTGCCTGGTTATCGAATCTGCCCCGGTTAGATTATAACGTTTAAAATGTCATGCCTACAAATTAAATATTTTTACCCTGATTTTGTATTAGTATTTAGTAGTGATAATGTAAGATACACTAGAAGAGATGAGCTAAATGATGGTGTATTTATTTAATAGCACTGCAGTAGGTTGTAGGTACAAATCCAATATTCAGTATTCTAGATTCCAAATGGTTTTTCACTATTCAACAAGTCAAATAACGTAATAAAATTCAATTTATTGATTTCCCACTTTAAGAACATTCTCTTATTGCACTATTTAGTACATGCTCACAAAGAGGTTAATTGCTAAGTTTAATTTCATTACGTAGTATTTACAATCCATAGTAAATACGACATTGACGAATATTGATGAATTATTGCACGGAAATGTATGGCTAGGTATAGCAGTAGAAATGTAAACTTCAATATTTTTTTTTCGTTGAATTTTTCTGAAAATGTTATTGTATTTTTCTAAACATAATTAATTTTTGAGATTGTATGGTTGGTATTTTAGTCAAATATTTATTATATTTAATTAAGAATTAAACGACTGGGAATATCTATAATTAAAATTAAAATTTATAGGTCTCTAGGTACATGATAGATAAAATATATTTATCAATTTATGACTTATGTTATTGCGCTTATAAATTAAGTACAATGCAATTTGTAATTTATAATAGCTCCCCTCATAAAAAGTAGTTAGTATTGCGGAAATAACAAAAAATGGAAAAATCGATAAATGTAGGAAAACGTTTATCAACTCCACATTTAAACTGCAGTAAAATTATTAACAGTACCTCTTATTGTTGTTGAATTTTGCATGTGACGCGAGAAGACACTTTTGAATAATATTGCTACAGCTATACTCGAAATCCTGACCAGAAAAAATGATAGATATCAATAGTCAATACTATATTTTACAATAGCAGTGATATTTCTACCTGCCTATACCTACTTACAACCTGAAAGCAAACAACATGAAAAACCAATTCTTAGGCTATCTCCGCATAGGTACTGCACAAATTGAAATTTTGCACTACGAAATATAGCAGCTGATATAATTTACCGAAAATAATTTTATGTTTTTTACAGGATGTATATTGTCTATTGTGTCATATTTTATTCGGTATTCCTATTGGCATTATGATAAACATGTTTAAATTGGTTTTACAACGTATAAGCGATGAATTATTATTGGTTTTTTATTTTTTTTGCATAGCCATGTAACGCAAAGATTACTATATAGTTGTATATAGGTAATACAGCCAACTCGCGATATAACGACAGTCGATGTACTCAAAATCTCGAAATAACGAATGAATTTTTGTTCCTTGGAACGTTTCGTGATATAACTAAAAATTAAATTTATTTTTGTCCCTTCAACATCACGAGGTTTTTTTGAACCAAAGCTCTACCAATGTAACACATTTTTACGATTTTGGAGTTTGACACTGCGAATTTTTAATTTTTTTAAGATACACGTCTGCTGGAGTATAAATTAAAAATAAATATTATGCTTGCTAAAGGAGTAATGGAGTATGTTTCGGCGATTATAATACGATAAGATGAAATTTAAATCGATAAATGACTGTACACATTAAGTCTCCTCGCCGTCTTAAGTAATTTACAAAGACGTGCATCGACGACAGTGTAATATTTTATATGTATAGGTACCAGGTACCTACTAAATAAAGATGATTTTTTTTAATTTGCAAAAAATTACATTTTACATATTACTTCCAATTTCCATGCATATAACTGGTTTCGTAAGCATAATATGCATATTGATATTATACATAACTATGGTTACAATTTATGATTAAATTGTGAAAAAACCAAATTTTAAAATATTTAACGTCATTGATAAATCGTATCAATTCTCTTTTATTGCGTACGCAGGCAGTTATTAATAATACATTTTGCGATGCGTCAAATAATTATATTAAAACGTTTTTAATATCAGTGTAATATTGTAATTTTTTTAAAATACACCAATTTTAATAAATTTGATTTTAACTTTTTCTCGTATACTCACAAGATTATTTTTTTTTTCTGTATCCAACTAATTAAATATTTGTTCAATGGTCACGCAACATATCAGCACCTCAAAGTTATGTTAGGTACTAAGAATAGCAGATATAGATAGTATCTATTTTTGTAGACGCTTAATTTTTTTTTTGCAGTATTTTTAACTGTTATTGTATACAATAAAATGTATTAAATACGTTTATTATAATAAACCAATGTACCTCCTAATATCGATTTGAAAAAAAATAGAAGGAAAACAACATTATTCGGATGAAAACATTTATTTTACAATGTAAAAAAAATATAGTAAATTAAAATAAATAAATAAATAAATAAATAAATAAATAAATAAATAAATAAATTGTACAATAAGATAATATGAATGCGTAATATCATTATTCTGAACAATAATTTTCAGTTTAGTATCATCCTCATGATATATAAATTAAATTAATACATTGATTGACATTTAACTATTGTTATTGAAACCAAAAATATTGAGCAATTTCTTAGGCCAGGTTTTATCCCGTAAATGTCATGCTTGTTATATTTGCGTATAGGTATGCGACGTGCATGATTATCATACAAACGACAAACTAACTGTTTTAACATTAATTTAAGTGCAATATATTAGTTTAAATTAAGTAAACAAACAAAAGTCTTTTACACTAAAACTATAAGTTTCGAAAATTAATTATTAAATATAATCTAACTGACCAGACTAATGAGTTGTCAAACTATATATAATCTTAATTTTATTTTGTTAAGGATGATTACGATCCTAATTAAATAAAAGTATGATATATAATAAATAAGGAGTGCATACAAGTTAATGATAATATTATGGCCTAGTATAGGAATTACAGGAAAATTACTTTCCATAGAATAAGAATGTTTCCTCATAACGTCTTTTGATTTATATAGTCAGACGAAAGAGTTTGTCTATAAGATTGCCGATTCCCGTGATCGGCTCATCCTTCTGAATAATTAGCCTTCGACGAATGCATATTCAATTATAAATTGTATTACACTCGTCACTCTTTGTAGTTTACAGATAATGTAATAGTTAGAAAAATAACGATATTTAAAAAAAATGTCCTAATATTTTCTAGTTTTGGTTAGGGTGAAGATAAATTGGAAAGTGTGGCTGTTTATTGACTCGGAATTTGAGCTTTATAGGCCATGGGTTGTGCTCCAGCCTGGGGTGGCGCGGTCCTGGACACACGTCTGATATAACGGCTGATACCATCTTGAGAACCAGGTGAACCACCATTAGATGGTTCTATTACCGAAGGTTCGGTGGCCACAATACTCCTACCCCAAATGCTACTTCCCCAACCGTGATGGTCGTGATGGTCATCATACTCTCCGTGCTCTGGTGGCTCGTAATGGTGTTGGTGGTGAGCATTCTCGTAGTACACAACTTTGTCGTGGTGACCGTGCTTACCCCACTTGATATCGTACCATATCTTGAAGGTATTGGAAATGGCGTAGATCATTGCGATGACTAAGAACTTGCTCATCAATATCGATTGGATTGTCATAATGATCATCTTGATCTTTTGCTTGAACAGATAGATACCAAACAAAACTTTCAACACGAATTTCTTGATTTCCTTTTGGATCTTTTTCTTCTTATGATGTCCTCTGCCTAAAAAAAAAGTTTAAATTAAGCATATATTTTTTTATCAAGACTAAAATTAAATTTGAAAAAATTAAACCAATTAATGCATTAATTTAATCACTCTGCGTTTAGCCAATTTAGTTTGCATGCACCTATGTCATTATAGAAGAAGAAAACTGGAATAGTTGGAATGCACAGAAAACGGAAACATACGAGACAAACAAGACAATCTTGGTGGAGGCCTTAGGTCGTTGATCGAAAATACGGTTGCTTTCATACGGCGCGGCGGATGCGTGACCTAGTTTAATTAATTTATTGTCGGCTGATTTCAATCTATCTTTATTCACAACCGGTTCCCAAGTCGAAGACATGTTGATTTAAACCTAGTTGGCCTACATATAATCAAGTATAATAAAAACACTCTTATAAGTGATCACTTGCTTATGGAAATTATACCCTTGACAGTGGCATTAACTATGCACATCAATTACCTTCATGTTCATGTTTCCAATTATCTATATACGCATATAAAACCGGATAAGACGTGTTCAATAGGGTGAGTGAAAACGTATAGGTACGAAAACAGCAAAATCATACAGCAATTAACTAATTGCCAATAGGTAAATAAACCAAAGAGTGTTAGATTTTTATTTTAATATTTAAAAAAAAAAATGTTTTAATTTTACTATTTATTTTGAGAGGAATTTAATATTAAGTTCAATAATGATCGTCATAAGAATTAACGAATATAAATTTGTGATTTTTGTCATTAGTTAGTGATTATGAACAATTTAAATAGGTACGCTTGAATGAAATTATTAATAATTAAGTTTTAAATTTAAATACTTTTAGTGATTTTAAAAATGGCTGATTAAACAAATAAGTTGTTATAGATTAAAATACATTATGAACATACCTATATTATAATATTGAGTTAAATCATTATACTGATATCTAATGTAATAATTAAAATCGATATGAGTAGATTAAACAATTAAAACATTATAGATATAAAATTTATATTATTTGAGTTATAAACTGATGTACTTACATATTATAAAGATTTTCAAGTTGATTTTTTATAGAAAAAAAAATATATATACAAATAATGGTATTTCAATTTCAATCTTTGCTTTCACTACCTATAATCTATATGTATAATAAGTCACGTTTTAAGACTTTATCGAAAAGAAAAGGTAAATTACTAAAAAAAATCTAGTGCTTAACAAAGATAAATCCAACAATCGTATTTAGTGCGTATATATTTATGTATAAAACTGGTTTATTTTAGAGATACTTGAGATTTACAGCGAAGATTAAAACTGGAAGCTGTAATTGATTACCGGTGAGGTAAAATCCGGTTGACACAATTTAACATTATAAGGGTACCAATAGTCCGACAGCAATTCACACAAACTTTTACTGGAGAAATTATGTAAAGGAGACGGTCAACATTCTATACTTTGTTTTAAAAAATGTCAAGTACATCCCAGGGCCTGTTTTATTGTTCAAGATTTCTCTTGTAATTATTTGAATACTAATATGTACTTAAATGTAATACTTAATACTTATAAACCGAATGCACTTCAAAAAAAAAAATAACAAAGTAATATTCCCTCATCATTTTTATTGGCACACTGTCTTATTATTATTTTTAAACCCTTTGATTATTCATTATTATGTATGACTTGTTAGTGATTGTATATCGATTATTTATTTGTATGTGTTTCAATTTCATCGCATTATTGTTTTCTTCTGATATAGTAGATACCGCTTAGTTTATTAAATTATCAGAACTCAGAATCATGTAAAAAAACATACAATTTGCACTATGATTTCCTATGATAAAAGATGTGTAGACTGAACTAATTAATAATTCATATCAGAATTGTTTTGAAGAACACATCTATTGTAATTATTCGGATTTTAAACTGGTCATTAATTAGCAATATTAGATTATTAGATATATTGCTTTCGTTGTTTTCTCGTAGAGTAATGTAGGTACGAGTGCTATGAAAGTAGGTGTATGGAAAATATTAAACAAAAAGTTAAAGTCAAAATAATATGATCAATTCGCTTTTATATTTTACGCTCTAAATAATTGTGTGTAATTAATAAGCGTTCAACGCATTTTATAAATAACATTTTTGTAACAAGTCGTGATAAAATAAAACATTCGCATGGAATAGTAATTTTTAATTATTATAAACACGTACTATACACGGTTTCATTGAGTAAAAAGATTCGACATTAAACACGCATTATGTGTCATACACATACCAATGTTATCATAAAATAAAAAACAACTGGTAAAAATAATATTTTACTTCTCATAATAATTTTGCACTCAACGTATTTACCAATTACCTACATGCGATAAGATAATGTTTTATAATACGTTACATACTCGTAGTTTCATTTCTCGTATTTCTATACCCTCCTCTAAGTGTGAAATGTTATTTGAATATAATAAATAATAATTATCCTATTACTCGTTGATGCAGCATTAACTGTTAATCCACATAACTAATTTTATAGCAGTATTCAATCGCTAATTCCCGTTAAAACCATTAACGGTTTTTGATATATTATTATATGTTTGGGAATGCATAAGTTGGTATAGGTACGACCGGTTGTTTTGTAAACGAGTTTTATGCAGATCTATTTAATATTACTATTATTAATCGAAAATAATTGTGACTGTGTGTTGTCGAAGCTTTAAACGGTAAACTGAAAACACCAGTGTAGACACCTCCTCTGTTATAATTTAATAAAATACCTACCACCCATATACTTTCTCCCGGGTCATTTTCGTTTTTTAAGTTTTTTGTATATATAATTAGGTGCGTTATAGCGTTTAAATACGAGTATCCGGTTCATGTATCGTGGTCGGTAGATCAAAAATATATTTGTAACATTGATAGGATTTTTCCAATGTATACGGATTCACTCATTGTGTAATTAAATACAAATAAATAAATACGTGAACTCTTTCACGCACTGAAGTCCACTAGTTTTCGACTGTGGTATTTTAAGTGCACAGCCACAACGGTGAAACATATACATAAATTATCATATTTTTTTTTGGATCGGACAAACTGGTTTGACACCTTAGGTCTAATATTAATAATAATAATAATCTTTCTCCGAACATTTGCGTGTGATTTGTCCTCATCCGTAACACTTTTGGAAACTGGTTTGGTGGTAAATTCCAAAAAATGACCACCCACAAAAAATTAACAGTATTATGTTACAGACGATGTCCGCTATAGTAATGCGGGCCAATGGTCAATAAAAAGCCAATACGATAGTACATAGGTAGTATCATGATTTTAAATAATTAATACTTTATAATCAATGGTAATAATTATGAACGAAATTCGAAACGCATTGGTATCGACTCAAAGGTGCCGTGAAATAATTCACACTTGTTGTTAAATATAATACCTACGCTACTACTATGATTATTAATATTATTCTCCGGAAAAATGGATGTTCAAATTAATCTAGGTTAGGCCGTACGTTCTTTTTTATAGGAAATTAATTTTGGACAGTGGTTAAAAAGTAATAGGTACAGGTAATTACAGGCTTTTAATCGTAGTAAACAACTAGCTACAGATATTATTCAATTGTTTTGATAGAATCTCTACGAGAAATCGTATAAACACGACACTGCAAGAGGTGTTAACAACTACGGTGAAAGTCCTACAGGTACAGAGTATCATCTTCACGACGGCGGCAATGGTATAATATAATATATGTGCATTTAATATGTGTGTTCAGGTATCTGTGTTCCGGTGTCCTTGTAGACCATTATCGCTCGTGTGATTATTTAAACATAAGGTATGTACATATACATTTTCCCCCGGAGTGTACAAGACGTGAATGTTTTCACTTTGCAAAGATAAAATTAATAAATATTTTTAATAAAACCTATTGGGCAAATATCGAACAAACAAAAATTGGAAAACTCAATCGTAGATCAGTAATTGTGTTTAGATGAGTTTCGAGAGTGACAAGACACAAGCTAATTTAAAAATATTATCTTACTATGGAGTATGAATGTAGGTATTGTTCGATCGGACTCCGATCAATGTCACTCCCACGTATATCAATATTATACCCATTTCTACGACTATGCTCTTGTCGATGTACACATAATATGTGATATGTGCAATTTACAACAACTGATACGTTCGAAAACCTATACCTAGTGTATTTTATTCATTTGTTATATTCGGTTCTAAATAGTTTGTGACGAGATATGAATGGAAGAAAACCAATAAAAAGTAGGTGATGACTGATGAGTTATAAAATGCACATTATAAGTTTTCTTTTATTCTTTGCAGAGAAACAATGATCATGATTAAAATTATAATTCTCAATTTCTACTAGTACGTATCAGTCAACAATTATTTTTAATTGATGTATGCATATTATTGTTTTTAATCTAGTCCTATTGTAACTTCATCATGATTTTTAAAGTGTTTACCAAGTGTAACATTTATTATTACAAATTTTAATTTATTAATAAGGAACTATTATAATTATTATGTTGAGAAATCATATTTAAAGGTTTGGATAAAATTGTTTTGTGTAAGAACACACTTGGTAATCACAATTGGTACCTATACATATTTGATGCCCCATAATTATATGTTTTTGAATAGTTAATATTTTTATTCTACAGCAGAAAGTTATGCAGTTAATGCAATTTTTATTGTATGATTGTTATGTGTAACTTACTATGCAGCATAATTGCATTTACAATAACTGGATCATGAATGTGAAATTTCACGTGATTTCATTAATTTGGTTCAAAAAATAAATATTTCATGATACAGTTAATTTTTGCTACGTGCGAGCGATAGTTCAAAATCTAATAATAAATTACTGTTTCCTTGGCGCCACAGGCCGAATGAACAATTGTATTTATACACATACACACATCATATAGGTACATAAATAATGTGCTTATTATTATCGTTTAGTCAATAGTATAGCATTTAATAGTTGTTATAGAGTAATGGAAACATAGCGTATAGGTATTGTAAAAGTCATAAATCATGTAGGTACCTATATTATAGAAGAAGAGCTTAAATAAAGAATTGTTCATTTCTACGTACACGTTATTATGTTAGACGTTCGATGTCACAAATGTTTAAAGATACGCATATTATTATGTTGACTGTCCGGATAAGTATTATAATAATAATGGGTACTATTATGTTAATTAAAAATAAAATTTTAAACTATGTAGTCCTTACTTCTTGGATTATTGAGTTTTAGAAAATATGTGTGAAGAATGTATTTTGTTTTAACTTTGATAATACCTTAATAGTTCGTCATAACGTATTTTGGAACAAAAATTATCCGCTAGTATAGTTTCGAATTGAATAATTATACCTACCTACATTTTAATCCAACGATAAAACAAACGACTGCACCTATGCATATTTGAGTGAATGAATAAGAGAAAAATGAAGGGATTAATTGACTTCGGAGTGACATCTGATTATAGTAATGTACCTACTACCTGTGTAAATGTTTTGTTTTGTCGGTAAACTCACGATGTTATGATTCATGTCCAGTTTGTGCCTAAAACAATCCTTTTACAAACTGGCCACCAAATTGAGTAGGTACGGGTTAGATAATAATAATAGTTTATAGCCTAGGTACATTGTTTGGTGTAAATAAGGTCTGAAAGTTAACTCAAACTGCAGTTCAATGTCAATAATTATCATAAAAATAATTTAAAACGAGAGCAATAGATTTTCCGGTACCTATAGTAAGCGTATTATGAATGTACTGCCTATATGAAAACGATTGATATCCGCATACATAATCGGTACCTGTTGGATCTTGAGTGAAAAAATCGGAAAAGTTACAGTCAGGCAAGTGTGAGCCAATCACGGTGTTCTACGCAATACAGTTTTGGTGATCGATGATGACGGGGTATTAGTGTGGTGTTTGACTAACGAGTCGAGTCTGGAGGGTGGTGACAGTAAAAAGAATATTGTTCGGCAAACAGTGGGCGCAATCGCGAGTAGGTAGGTGTGTATAATACGTCAATAATAATGATAGCAATATAAAGTACGATAATAATATGGCGCATAAAAAAAACAACTCACCTTGGTCGAGGTCTTTCGGGGCGTTGACGGGTGACCCGCCGGCGGACGGCGCCGAGGTCTCGTCTTCTTCACCACCGCCGCCGTTGTCGCCGCCGTTGAAGTAACTGGAAATGCCGTACGTGATGAAATCGCCGATCTGTTGGACCAGATCTCCGACGCCGGCCACGTCCTCGGCCGCGGTGTCCGGGTCGCTGTGGGCCAGTCCGACGGCCGTGTCGCGCATCGACACCATGGCGCGACTCATGCGCGATTCCAGGCATCCGAGGGCCGCTTGAGGCTTCTTGTAGCACGCGATCACTTCGGCCCAGGAGACGCCTTCGTCGGCGCTGTTCTGCTGCTGCTGCTGTGGCTGCTGTTCAGGGGACAGCACTGTCTGTTCGACCGCAAGAGCCGCGGCGACGGTAACCGCCAACACCAGCGCTGCTACGTACTTGGCCATCGTGGTGGACAGGCAAACGGTGCAGTGTCGCGGTAGAAACAATGCGATTTGTGATCGCGTGGACACACGTGTATGCGTGTCGTCAGTTGTGTGTGGAACGACGTGAATGCCCGGCCGCGGTTGCCGACGATGAGCGGTGCAATGAATGGTTGTGAATGGATGTCCGGTGACTTTATAGAAGCACCGTCGCCGCCGCCGCCGCCGCCGCCGACGGGCAACCCGGTCCGGACGTGACCAGTTTCTCGGAAGTAGCTCACGCGGGAGAGAAGCGCGAGCGCGCACGATACGGTATTAGATTATCAGAAAACGCGCAATAGCCACTGCTGCCGTCGCCGCCGCCCGCGGTAAACCTACCCAACACGTTCCGGGAGGCTTCGTTTTTCGTGTACCGATTTTATTTTTTATACATATTATGATAATATAATATACTCGTAGAATATCATAGTAGGTCTCTCCGGCAGTCAAGGACGCCACATTACAGTGTATATTATTTTTTCGATGCAGCAAAAAGTCAATTTTATAACATAACATAATAATTATACCTGCACAGTGCATAGGTACTCAATATATCCCTATATATTCTGCATAATATATTCAACGATATTAGAACATAATTTTGTGTTGATAAATCGTGGACGATGTGCAGTCGGGGCGAGTATTTTAGAAACGTTCAACTGAGTCCGAGAGTCTTGGAAATTGAAAAAATTTCCGGGGTAGGCGAGTGTGGGTAGCAACCCATTGAATATTATTTTCAAAAAGGTCGCATGAAAAATTGGGTAACTCTTATATATATATTTATAATCTTTGGTCGCCAATATACAAAGGTTGAGAATCACTGTGCTATAACACACAAGTAGCTAATTTTTCCGAAAAACTGAAAGTTGTCGTTCGGAATGGTGGTTACATTTATGAATAGGAACGGTTGACGTTTATAATATCATATTAGTTAGCTTTTATTGTAACGACAAACGAATTAGAGTAAAGTTAAATCACTTAATAAGTTTGGTTTCAGTAAGGTCAAGAATGTTAAGAAATTAAGAAATTAAGAATTTTAATACCATATAAAATCAAAGAAAACTAGAATTAAATCATATATTTTAATGGGACCCTAGAACAGTTGATTAAAAACATTTGATTTGAAGATGGTTAATTAAAAACGATAGGTAAGTCATTAACACTTTTTGTCAATGTGCTTTTCATCAGTAATAGAAATATTTTGTGTACTTAATTTTGATATGTTATTTATTTATCATACTAAAATTAAATTGTATTAATTAAGTCATCAAAAAATAAATATTTTACTAGCTAACTTATCATGTTTTATGAATAATCACTTTTGACGAACTGCCCAGACTCTATACTACTTTTACGAGCATTGTTATATCAGTCTTTTTTGTGAAGTGAAATAAATTATATTCTAGACAAGACTTTTTTAAAAATAACCGGTTAGTACTATTAATTGTTAACGATTTTGAAAAAAAACCAAACAGTGAAAAAAAACTGCAAGTAAATTTATAATTTTTCGGTTTGAGTAATATTAGACACCAACTTTTGTTTTTCTTAAGACCTAGGTTCCTGCGGTGATAGTAGTATAGTAGTAATTGCAGATTCATTTTTTATTTTTCCAAAGAGATATTTATAGTGATTATATGGATCTTCTAAAACTCGAAGAAGCTTATAGGTACAGTTTTTCAAGGTTGAATTGTATAACAATAATAATAAATTGATGTGTTATTAAGTAATCTAATATTATTGTAATTGATATAATTATGTACCTACCTATTTAATACTTAAATATTATGAATCAATTTGTGTGCATTGTAATTGATTATTCTTTTGTTTTAAAAAACACTTGAAATATTTTACATACGTCATTACATAATATTATATTATACAAGTATCAAAATACTTGTATACATGGGTAAACAAATAACGGATAGGTTAACATAATGAATAGATACTTTTAAAAGATGTTAATTATTTTCAGTTAATGTACAATGATTGTGTGTAATTTTAATCGTTGTATACATGTAGTCTCAACTCTAAAGTTCAGTGATTTAATAAAAGGTACATGCCTAATCGTAACATGACATCATCAATAATATTTCAGTTATTGGCTTATTGCCGAGTATTATTACAATCACTGATTTTACGTTCACGCTATTATGGCGTTTTGAATATAAATCGTATTAAGCAATGACTACAGCAGCAGTCTGTAATATACCTACCACGATAAAGGTAGTAAATCGATTATTATTATCTAATTACATTTTGGCAGGTATTGAAAATATTATTTAGTATGTGCGAAATAGCAAAATAGATAGCGTAATGTACCAAATTACCTATACAATTATTGTATCTTCTTGAAATGATTAATTAATGAGGAGATCATTTTACAATAATTTAAATAGTGAACGGGTACCTGATTTTATCATAATTGTCTTAACATTATAATTATCTATTAAAGGAGATTTGATTTATTCGTTAAATTGTATTCATGATAAAAGGGAAAGTTTACTTAATTACTGTAATTATACGAACCTCGAAAAACTTGCTATAATTAATTGACTACCTAAACTTAAGTTGTAACACACAAGATCAGGTAGGTTGGTACTATAATACAAATAAAGGTACCTACCTACCTACTTAATACTTCTTAATTTATAATAATTATTTTAAATATTTATTTTTTACAGTAGATACCTACAAGTAGTAGTATCTAAACCTAATCAGTCATTTATTATTTTATAAGCCGGTGTATATTTACTGAATTTCACTACTAAACGAGGAAAAAAATAAACTAATTGAGTCCGTACTTTAGAAAAGTAAAATATGTCAATTGACTCCATATAATTTTTTTATTTTATATGATTTTATTGTGCATTTCTATAGTTTTGATTGTAACAGAATATAGAAATATCAACATTGTTGAACACAAAATTAGTGCATTAACTGAATCAAACCAAAAGAAATTAAACTTCCTATATCTAAAGAAAAGAAAAGAAAATTAGAGATAAATACAGCAGTTAGAAACAAAACAAATACTTAGATTTGAATACATAAAATGTTTATAGTGTAATTTTTTATGAATTCCTGGTATAGATAAGGCATAACATTTATTTGTTTATTATTTTAAACAACTCAATAATAAAACATATTACAGATATATATAATATTCTAATTATTTCCGAATTAACATAAAAGAAAATTGTCAACAGTATCTAAAATGTTTTTTCTTACGAACAATCTTAATAGTTTGTGAAAATTGAGCAGAAAAGGTTTTTTTTCTAAGTCTAGCGAGACCCAGTTAATTAAACATGGCCTTAATTATAGTATCGTGTTTTAAATTCTAGAAAGACAATATTAGTACCTATATACACCTAAAAAAAACACTGGACTCAATTTGTTCTAAAGGTTTTATTGGGACTCGGTACATATGTGGTCTCAAACACATAGACACATAGTCACAACGCTTATGCAGTTATAAATTACAACTCATCCTGAGTTATGCAGTTTAACAGGTAACACGAATCATCCCACGCAATTAGCATGTTACGAAGTATATCTTAGTGTTAACATTGGCTCGTCGCCAAGGAGATGTTAATAAACAATAGTAGTCTTATAATCATTAAAATTAACATGTATATAATTACTGTGTTTAAAATTTAAATATCTATGATTAATCAGTGTTTATTACACTGTACAAAAACATTTTAGGTAATTATATATATATATACACACATGATTAATTCTTATGAGGACGTCGTTTTAAGTAAGTTATGACATTTTTGAAACTGTACATTTTTTAAATGATCATAACTTACTTAAAAATAATGATATCAAAAAAAGTCTACACGAGACCTTAAGCTTACCTGTAAATCTTAAAGTACCTAAGTCAATTCACTGTAATATCAAAACTAACAGCTCGCTATGAAAACTGGTCAACGAAAATTTGCTATGTGCAAGACGGAAACAACATATGCGTGTACGACGTCCTCTTAAGGGAAGGTTCAATGTTTTCGGGATTAGCTGGCCTCTAGCTAAAGTAAATTTTATTCAAATAAAATTATTAAAATACGACTGATTTTTAAAGTAAACAATATACATTTAAATTAGTGCTTTAATAGTTATTTTGTGTTTGTATAGTTATATAACTATGATTAAACAATAGGTGAATGATCAATTATTTATTATTTTGACTAAAATGTTGTGATTATGTTTTATGTGTATAAAATATAAATTATATTAATATTATTCAGTTGGATATTTGACTTACATAGTTATATCATAGCTAAGATCAAAGTATTTTTAAATCAAATACAATCCATATATTTAAAGTGTTATACCTAAAGTCATATTTTAGTAATTTATAGTAGAGGTGTAGATACCCTACTCGAACACGACATGTTTTTCGACGTGTTTGTTGGCAATCTATAGTCTATACAATAATACAAATGTCAATTAATACTACAAAATATATATAAGATAATTTTAACTTCATACCTTAATATTATTTGAGCGGATAATGAATAAAATAACTCATCCAATTTTAGGTTTGCGTCATGAAAACTTTCTTTGTGATTTTGAAACAAAATAATTTCACGAGGGCATAATATTATTGTACATTGAGCCCGAATATAATAAATCAACCGCTTATTCTTTCATCGAAATCTTATTTGAATCAATTTAACCTTCGTTTGTACAAGCATATTATTGTTTAATTACATATATTATTTAATCATAAATTTATAATCTGCTTCATTTAATTTTTGAAATGAAACTTTTTATCATTTCGATACCTATTTTCATACAGGTACAAATCTATAAAAAACAAAGCTATTAAGACACTAGCTTTATAACAATAAAAAAATATATATTCATCTTAAAAAACAAAAATAGGTAAAGTACTTAGGTTACAATGCTGTTGTACTGGGGACTTATAGGTGTCGAGTATCGAATGTACTGTGCATCGAGTTACTAAAATTCTTATTCTTGAATTAAATATACCTAGTTTTATCAAAATTTGAATTTTAAATGTCTACAAAAAATTGTATTTATGGGAATATTTTTAAACTAATTATGAGAAACCTTGTTTTACACTTTCAAACCTATTGGTTCTACAAATTGAACATTTTATTCATTTGAGATTGTCGTGAT